ATATATAAATACTGAATATGGGCCAAAAGGCAAGTTTCAGTGCCCTATGATTTTATGTGTGAACATAAACATAAACATTATTGTTTGTTTATTTTTACCAGATTCTAAAATTAATCAATTTAGACCTGAAGTATTCCAGAACTCACAACAGGTTCCAACATTTCATTTAAAGACACGCCCCCCCCAAAAAAAACAAATCTTGTAACACAGATATCTTGTTACACAAACTGAATCATACCTCCCCTATTCAAATATCTGTATTTGAGAGAATTGTTACTCGTTTACAACAATCCATTTATGACATTTATAATGTTTAAAGAAGAAAATGTTACATTTTACTTTCTTTAATTAAACTAAAATCAGGCCAAATTGTAAAAGCTGGGTTTAAAATTTATTTCTGACAGTTTGAAAACCATGTTTTTTACACAGATAATTAGAGACATGACAGAAACAGTGCTCTGATTTAAATCATTTTTGAACCTAAAGACCTTTTTTTTTTGTCCTGATACATAAAACCATTGACAGAGTGGACTTTCTGTGTCCTACGCCTGCGTTTTCATTTTCTGTTTTAGCAGAAAATTGTGTTTTAAAAGATAGTTGTAATATTAACTTTAACGTGGTTATAATTCACATTCTTAAACTAACAAATACGTGTGAAGTGAGTTTGGTTTTCTTTGAAAAGGTGAACTGTTGGCAGACTGCAGGATTGATTCGAAGGTTGGGGTGACTCCCTGTGGAATTGAACACGCATGTCTTTGTCTCACAGAGTCCACGGTGATAGTATAAACAGCATCCAGACGGTGGACCTGCTGTCAGAAAGAGCGACCCGGCAGATCATCTTCACGGACGACATGAATCTGCCCGTCACAGATGTTAATGTGAGTCTTGTTGTGTAGAAGCTGAACGCTGTGCTGGACTCACATCATCAAATGGTGTGTTTTTGTTAACTCACAGGAAGACTTGGCTTCACCAAACAAGCAGCCGTCTCAGGACCTGGACTCCTGCAGCACCGACCTGAAGGACCCCAGTGAGGACAGCGACACTGACTCAGGCAATGGCTCGGACAGCGGTGGTGACTGCAATCCTGTCTACAGGCCTCGTTTCTGTAGCCATGGTGACCAGCGACTGAAAGCCCAGTTGTCGGGCTCAGAGAGGGCCGGTCTGCAGGACAGAGGTGAGAAAACAAGAGAGGATGGAGGAAGCAGCATGACTTGTGTTTTCACAAAGCCAGGGATACTGGAACTCCACTCTCAAATCACAGTCCTACACTGACCCTAACACTTCATATTACCCTAAAACCTGTTAGCTTGTAAAATCACAACAACAAGGATTCTAGTAACTCCTCTCATTCTTTCCACTCTATTTTTAGAAACGTTTTGTCACGAGGATACGTCAGAACGCCACGGTCGTGTGGCGCAGCTCAGGAAGGCGTTTGCAGATGAGCCTCAGCAGAAATCACCTTACAAACCGCCCGTACCTGCCAAACCTGCTCATCTGCAGAGAACCACCCGCATTCATTAAAGCTCACCCTGCTGCAAGTATGGAGAGCCAGCGATGCAGCTGGACCAGCTCCCTCTAAAACCGTTTATGCACATAAACTTTCCTTGGATGTAATGTTGTGGACACACACCTGCAGACGGAGCTGGATGGAGACCGTGCACTGAAGTTTGAAAAATCTGAACCACTTAAAGCAAAAATGCAGATGTTTACGATGTGCCTGTGACTGAGCAGCAGATACAAAAGGTGTTCACAACTCAGACACACAAATGGACATTTGACCGGAGAGAAAAAAAACTCTACAAGGATATCTGTTTTTACAACCAAAAATAACTGATAAACTAAATACTTATTATTCTGTGCTGATCCAGATTGTTTTAAAATGTCTGTCACTTGTTTGCACTGTTTAATGATGGTCACTGAACAGGATCGTTCCACAGTTTTATTAAGTGATCCAGGAGGTTTGGGCATAAAAACTAAAAACCTAAAATGGTAAATGAATTAATTTAACACCCATACATATACCTGCCCTGAGGTTTTTTGGCCTGTTGAAAACAAATTGCCCAGATCATGATAGTTTATCAAAGAAACAATGGACCCCCAGAGGAATTTTACTGAAATATTTTTTGATTCTCTTTACATTTTGATTTTAGGCAGAACATTGTGTTTCATCTGTCAGCTGGTTTAACATTGTGTTACGGTGTTTAAATTCAAAGGACTTAATGGCTCCCGACTTATTTTTTATCACCATATTTGTGGAATTGGAGCCATAATGAGCAGCTAATTCAGAAATATGCCACAACAGCAGCATGTTTCTACAGCTATTCAATCAAAAGAAAGATATTTATTCTCTAAAGATGGTGAATCCTATTATGTCTACATTTTAGCTTCTTATTCTTTTGATATTTATATCCCCTCATAGAATAAATTGTTATTTTAGAAGCACAAAATTACAAAGCCCGCGAGGGGACATGGGGGATTTTTTTTCTTTATACGTTCCCTCGCAATACTTTTGCGTTACATTGCAATATTATTTTGCATTCCCACGCAAAAAGATTGTTTTGTAGATGAACTGAATTAAATTAGACTTTTATTTTGAAATATCTGGTTACCAAAACAGGATATGTCGCCACAAGTTTGTGAAATTGACATTGATGTTGTGTGGCTGCACTGTGTTAAAATATTGGCATATGACATACTTCCATGTGTGGTTGTGTGATATATTCATTCTGAAGCTGAATTAAAGCAGTAGGCTAACTCGCTAATGGTGAACATGTTAGTTTGTTAATAAACCGGCAGGCACAACTGTGATAAACAACTTTTGCAAGGGAATGCAAAAGTATTGTGAGGTAACACAATACAATTGCGTGGGAACGCCAAAAAAATAAATCCCCCATGTCCCCTCACGGGCTCTGTACAAAATACTTGAAATCAAATCACACTTAAAATAATTTGACTAAAATGCTGCTCAGAAAAGCCAAACTAGCATCATCAGCTAAACTAGCATTAGCGGCTAATAGTAAACATTAGTGTCAACCACTGGTCCACTGTTGTGGAAAAACTAGCACTTTTGGTAACATTTATTGTGCCAAATGAAATGTTAGCGAGCTAAGATGCTATGAAAATGACAGTTGTATCTGAAAACTACACAGAGTCCTAATTTTCTGCCTAAAAATTGGTATTGTAGTTCTTGAGACCAGTCCCAAGACCCCATTTTGACCACTCGGTCTAGTCTTAGTCTCTGAGGACTCAGGATTTAATTTCAAGACCAGTCAAGTCCACAACTGTGGAAATATCACTAGGTTTCCAGAATATTGTCCAATGTATTTGTCAACATCCTTGCTTTCAATGGATGTAAGACATACTGATTCAAATCTAAGAGTGACTCATTGCTAATTATGTATTTTTGTTACCGCTCTCACCCGTCACCACCCTCTTTCATTCACACGCGGCACTCCGAGAAAGTGAGCAGCGGTTGTGTGGGAGCGAGTCTGCAAAATCTTCAGTAACACAGTTTGGCTACATAAATCCTAAAGGACATGTTTGTAACACAACATCTAGAAGAAAGCAAACAGCAACTTGTAAATTCTGCAGTGCTTTGCTTTCAGAGAAGGTGGGGACTACAACAAACATTTATCCTCACTTAGAATAGATGCACAAAGTTTTAGCATACTGAGCTAGCTAGTTAGCCGTCGGCCCTCACAAATATATTTAGTCAGTATTAGCTGTTTATATTAAGTTAGCAGTGTACAGTATGTTTCAGGGCACTATTTCTTTCTTTTTCCTTTTTTTAAATCTTGAAACAGTCTCGCCTTCACTTGGTCATGGTCTCAACTTGGTCCAGGCCCTAAAAGTCTTGTCTTGGTCTTGATACACTGTGGTCTAGGTTTTGACTTGGTCTCCTGTTGGGTGGTCTTGACTACAAATTCCACAAAACTAACAATTAATGTTTTAAATGATGTTCTGCTACTTTCCTGACTTTTGAAATAAAATAAATAATGTGAAACCAATGACAAACACACAAAAACTGTCAGGACATGATGATGATGAGATTTCCTCCTTTATATCAGCATTAGGTCTACCAGAGACGTACAGCCACGTCTTTTTTGTTTTTTTGATTTTGCTCTTCCAGGTCAGTATTCAGTAAATAAAGAAGATGGATTCTTTATTCACAGAACTTGACAAGTAAATTCTACGTTACGTCCTGATATTTTAGGGTAACTGAATTTATATAACGATAAACTGAGTTTCTGTGTCTGCCAGCTAGCTAATTTGATTAATTTTTGAATACTCAGTCGTCATACATCCTCTACAACACTTTCAGATATCAGAAGCTGTGGAAAACCCCGTAATCACAATGTAAACACGACAGCAGCAACTCCTTTAGAAGGTTTGGAGTATTTGAGCTGTAGTTACTACCTAACTATTTAGTCACATGGTAACTTTACTTGGTCACTAATTCATTCTTGAAACTCTGCTGACAGTTGTATATGCATTTGTACATTTTATTTATAATCATGTGACAAATTATTGCAATAAAATGTTTGTTTTTGTGCTCTTGCTTGGTTTATTCAGAGTGTTTGAGATAAGGTGGAATGAAGGAGAAAACGTAACGATAGTTAGATAGATAGTGGTGAGTTTCACAATGGTTATCCATTCAGTGGGATGAAGTGAGGGGGGGGAAAAGTCCATCAGAGATCAAACGAACAGCGCAGAGAGCCGATTAGCATGTGGTTTGGACTGAGACGGAGGGCAAGACAGAACAAATGAGAGTCTGGTCACGGGAAGCAAAACGTCACGCTCAACTCAATAAACCACATTCCCTCACCTCCTCCTCCACACGGTCAGGCCTCTGCGTGTGTGTGTGTGTGTGTG